CGCGACGGAAAGCGGCACGGTAAAAATTAGACCAATAGGAAGACGGTTTAGCAATGTCGTCATAAAGATCACGTGGGACGATAGCATTCGAACTATGGCGGTCGGCAAGCTAAAAAGCTTTATTTGTACACTAATACGCTAATATATTTCATTTATACTCTATATTACTATCCGATTTAAATATTAATGTCAAATAGACTTACTTACTGCGTAAAGTATTGGGAATGGAGTAAGCGTAATTCGGCGACGAAAGTATTCGATATTCCTAACTTTCGACGATTTAGAATATTTTTCCTATCCAAATTATTCGTTTTTGAGATTTTTTTTATTTGCGATGAATCGAAGGCAAACCTAAAAAGTTTAATTGATATAACAAAGCAATCTCGGTAGACACCATTTTCGACTACTGGCACGTGGTCTACCTACTGTAGTAGCTGGTTTATATCTACGGCTGGCAGATGGCGCGTTTCAATTGTAGGGTAATTTCCACATGTGAGTACACGCGACACGGAAAGACGACGGAACGGCAACTGTTTCCGTCGACGATTTCTGTCATCCGTTGCCGCATGTGGGTACCAGGCTTTAGAGAGTTGTTTTTAAAGTTGTTACTAATTTGGATAAGTAGTACTGCATCAAAATATTTGCATAATAAGATGTATGCTAATTTTGATTGAAAAATTAACTTCATTTTTTAAAAATTATTAAAATTTAAAATTTCTTTAATTTATTCATACCAGTGAATTTTTTTCATTATTAACAAATTTTTAAAAAATATTGTGTGACAATATTTTGAGTTTAAATTTATAGACAATATTTTATATTTTGACAATATTTGTTAAACTGAAAACAAATTTTTACTAAATATACAAAGAAAAACTTTTTGAAAAACTTATTTTGAAAACTTTAGTTTGTTCAAAATAATCAGAAATATTTATTTACCATAAATTAAGGGTTGTATACAGGACTATTATCTATAACAAATATTAATTTTTAATATATATCTAAAAATAAATAAATAAATATTGTAATTAATGAGACAAGTTTATATTATTTAAAAGGAAAACTTAAATAGCTTAAAGGCAATAACATTTCAAATATTAAGTGTTAAAAGTTAAATAAATATATATATAAAGCTCATTAATTATAAATGAACTAAAAGAAAAACAAATCTAGTTATAGCAAAGTTTGGTAATATGAGATGAGAAATAAATTATAAAAATTTTTTTAATTTTACAGTTCAAGGCTGATGGCCAAGGAGTTTGAATGTACGGTAACAAGGACAACTTCATTATGATAGAAAAGAGTTTAAGAGAAAGTTGAGTGTATCTTTCAAAATTTCTTGTTCAAAGACAATTTCTTGCAAGATTTTTGAATATATTTTCAAAATATTATATATATCTATATATATACTTTTTTATTTTATCATAGAATTTTATAATGAGAACATGTATCAGAGTTTTTTGTAAACATAATTTTTATGAATTATCATCAATATTCCCAAGTCCCATTCAAACACAATTATCGGCCATCAGCTTTGGAATGACTGTAATATGTTAAATAAAATATAGAAAATCATGAAATTTTTTATTCAAATTTAATCTTTTATTTAATTCTTAATTTTGGATTAAGGCTTATATCCAAGAGTCCAAAGCTTTGTTTAGCATTAAACAAGAAAGTAATTTAAACTGTTACATTTTAAATTATTTAATATTTTAATATTATAATTAAAATAATAGTAATAATCATATATTGCTAGATTTTTATTTGGGCTAATTAAGCTTAAGTTGACTGAGGGCCATGGGGAATAGTCATTTCCAGTCTGTGCAGCAATTTACCTGTATGGTTATATCTTCTGAATTAATTGGTCTGAAAGCAAAGATTGAATGGAGGTTCAGGTAGCTTAATTTGCAATGCATCTGCACAGTAAGCAAATGTTGCAAGTTCTGCTCTGGATTGATTTTTTTATCCGGAATATTTTAAATTTATTTATTTCAAATTAAATATAATGTAAGATTATATTTTAACTGCCTAAGTTTAGTCCAAAATTACATAATACCTTTATAATTAAATAGCTACATTATAGTCTAAATAAAAATTTGGCAGTGTTGTATGATTATTATATGTTGGATTTGATTTCATACATAATAATAAATAAGAGTGTCATTTACAATTTTTCAAATTGAATTTTTTGAAGCAATTCATACATACAAGCAAAGAATAGTTGGAAATAAGTTTTAAGCTGTCCTTTGCTCTAAACTATTTGTGAAAATATCTAGTTGAAAAATGAAGTAAAAAACAAAGAAGAAATTGAAGTATACCTTTTGCTTCAAATAATGTTCTAAGATTAAAGAAATTACATCATAAGGAAAACAAAAGACAAGTTTCCATGATTAGTATTTGAAATAAAAATTAGACAATTTAAAAGTTAATTTTGAGTTAATTAAAATAATTTATTCAAAGAGGAAAAAATAGCTGTATAAATATAATTTTTTTAGTAGAGTAATTATATTAACAAATTTCTATCTGGAATATAAGCCTTATCAAAAATATAAAGTATTAAAGATAAAGGTTGAATCAAAGAGTATTTCTAGATTTTTTTATTATTTGAAATTTTTTGTAGTTTATTTCTAATTCTTTTAAACTTTATTACTTTTATTTGTTAAAAACAGGAGTAAATACAAATTTTAGACAACAAAGACAAAAGGATTATTTTTGAAACCTACATATATTATATATAATATATATATGTAATGGGAAAGAATGCTTAAGTTCTTAAATTAATTTTCAGAATGTCATGTTGATGATATACTTCTGGCAAATATTTTTGGTGAAATAAGATTATTATTTTTGTGTACCAAGATATTTTTCTTTGGATCAAGTCATGTAACTTTTGATGTCAAGAAAAATATGAATCATTCTGAAAAAGTCTTAGAAATTGGTCTCTTGATACAAAAATATTTATTCACAGGAAGAAATCTTTAGAAAGGAATTGTGCAGACATCAAATGAAAAAATGTTTTTTGAAAGTAGAGATGTTTAGGACTTAAAATAGACTTAGTTTTAATACTTTTTTTTTAAACCACTTTAAATTAGATTTGAAATAGTAATAATTAATGAATCTTAAGTCTATATTCTAAAAAAATTTTTTTATTGTCTAGTGTGTTGATAATTGATTTATTGTATAATATACAAGGTGTATCAGAATGACGTTTTAGAAATTTGGGGGATTGTAGAGGATGAAATTTTGAAAGTTTTGATATAAGGAACTCATAGCTGGAAATGTGATATAAAGTTTCTACAGCGGTAGGAAGTGCTTAATCGCCCTTCACTTTGGTAGCTACCCTTCCGTCCACTGACATCATGTTGTTGTTCTTGACTTCTTCCTCTGGGGTTATGTAAAGTCCCTTGTGTACGCAACACCTGTAGGAACAGTTCATGAGCATACGGAGTGCATCTTTACAGCTTTTAATACCATCAGAGGGGAGTGTGGCATCTTACAGAGAGTCATATAAAACATGGTTTGTCATTGCACATTATGTAGCAAAGTTGGTGGTCGTCGCATTGATCATTTACTCTAAAGTAGTGCAGACACTGATTCGAAGTACAGTTTGATTGTACTGTACTGTTTTGTCAATAAAACTTGTCATAAATACTGTATTCTGCTGTTTCATTCAGCATACTGACTGCAAAGTGCTGTAGAAACTTTATATCACATTTCCGGCTATGGATTCCTTATATCAAAACATTCAAAATTTCATCTTCTACATCCCCCCAAATTTTTAAAACATCATTCTGATACACCCTGTATAGGCTGTTAGATAAAATTAGATAAACAACAATATTTTATTAATGTTTTCATCTATTAAGAAGAATGTTTTAAAAAATATATTGATTTTGAAAATCATAAAAATATTCAGTTAATTGGATTATGAAAGAACTGTAGTCAGAAGTTTAAATATTTTGATGTAAATTGTATCTCATAAAATTATATTTTATGAGATCAATTTAAGATAATCATACAAGAGGTATGTCATCAGTTTTCTTCCTTACAAATACAGTGCAAATAACTGAAAAAATACTGTCCCTTATATTTTATTTATTGGTATTTTAAAAAATTAATTCCATAACTTATAGTTTTATTAATAATTAAAAGTTGAAATGTACAGTATATATACTAAATAATATACAATAATTATCATTATGAAATTTAATAATATGTATAGTTTTTCAATAGACTAGATTAATTCGAATGTAGATTAAATTTACAGTATTAGCTATTGCTGAGAGATACTATAAATGAATATATCTGTAAGCTTTATCTAGCTTATTTTCTTATTCCCATAATAAACTTTTATTTTTAAAACATATTTTTTAATATGTTTTATCCCTATCTAAGTAAAATATTTATTTTTTTACTTGATATTGTTGAAATTAATATGCAAAATTATTTTATTTAGATGGTGTCACTCTCTTCCAGGCTGCTCACCTCACTGCTTCCAACCAGACTTGCACCTGGCAAGTACATGACAATAAGATTTTAGGTTCCAGTGAATAAAAATTTTTTTCTATAAAAATATTTTTTGGAAAATAATAATTAAAAAAATATTTTATTAATTTTTAGATATTTTTTCATTGGCCTTTAATAGTTTTGAAATCACTAAAATAAGAAATAATTACCGAAGTTTTGCTTCCGATATAGACATTAAATTTAACAAATGCTGTATTTAGTTAATAATTAAAATATTGCAGTTTTGGCTATTGTCGAGTAACTTGGAAGACTGTGATTAGTAATTCTCTCAAAATTTTTATACAGTATTTGTGGAATTAAATTAGAAATTATGAATAATTGAAAAACTTCCATTTCATTATGGTTTCAACAGAATTTTATTTTATTATAATTGCATATTCAGTGAATTAATAATTACTAATTAAAATGAAAAAAATACTTCTAAAACTTTATTGTTTCTGTATCATTGCTTTAATATTCATTAATTGTTACAGGAACTTGATGTGAAAGCAGGTGGAGGTCAGGTTATGACAATAGGTGAAATGTTACGCCATTTTCTTACTAAATTAGAATGGTTCTCAACATTATTTCCACGTATTCCTTTGCCTATTCAAAAAGATATTGACACAAAACTGTCAACTCGTAATCCAGCACCAAAAGCTGGTGGAGCTGCAGCCACTGCCATTCAGAATGAAGAGAAAGCTAGGTGGCCAGAAGATTCAGCTGAGGAGCATACAAACTTCCCAAATGCAAATGATGATTTGGAATGGGATGAGAGAGACAGGAGGTATGTTCAGGTATTGTACCTAAATTTTTTAATAATAATATCTTAATTGCTAAGAAAAAGTTTATACAGTGGTACCTCAGGATACAAACGCCCCAGCATACGAAATTTTCAGGATACGACATGAAATTCGAACATATTTTTGCTCCACAATACGAACAAAAACTCACCATAGGACATTACATTAGTTCGCAGTGCCATTTTTTATTCACTTCTATTCATTGGTCTCAGTCCGCATGTTTGCTTCGTCGTGGATCTCACTTGATAAAGGAAATCTTGAGGTATTATCAGAAAGTGACTGATTTTATTGAAAAGAAACATCCCGAAAAGCCGTATTGCTGCTCAGAGTAATGACATTTGCCTAAGTCATTTTAGAAACATTTTAAAAAGTAGGCAAAGCCAAACCTCTTTGGATAGATATTTTACCAAGCAACCTCTATCCAGTGAAAGTGCTG